CTGGCCTCTGAATTTGAGGATTCCTCTACGGTTTTTGTGAAAAAAAGCTTCACCTATAAGAAAAACAAAACAATTTTTTTTACTTAAGTTATACACATAGCTGTTGTAACAAGTCTAGTAACAAAATTAAAAACATGCCATATATACACTTTCTGGGAAGCTTTTCAATGAAGGTGGTGGGCCAAATGGACTTCGAACGACTAGACTGAACTGAAGATTTTAAAAGATTCAAATTAGGAAAAATTTTGATATTGCAGAATGTCTTTTGAAACATTACCTTTTGGTTATGAGATTTACAAATGTAAGAAATTTTTAAGTACACATACCTTGAAGTTTGGAGAGAAGTTTTTGTTGGCCTTATCTTTGTTAGCTTTGTCTAGGTCATTTTTTGTTAAAGTAAGAGTGAGATATTCCTTGTCGTTGTCTGAATGTTCTGTGCTGTATATCCCATCAAGTTCATTCTCGCCAACTAAGGTTCCATTTTCAACTTTTTCAGAATATTCTTCAGGCCCTGGTATGAAGAACGTATTAATCCAAAAATGGAACATTTTTTCCTAATGAAAAAAAAAAAAAAAAAAATGTTTACAGGCCAAAAAAATGTGTTACAATTTCTTTATCTACATATTAAACAAGACAACACTAAGCGATTCCTGGTGGTGCTGCCGCCAATCAGATCAAGAAATATCACCTTCTAAACACCTTGGAACCCATGCTTCTTGAATCACGTAACAAAATGCTAAATTGATAGCTGCAATTTAATACTGTGTATATCCAAGATATGCTACTTCTCAACTTAAAGCAAAGTTTGAGAAAATAAATAAAAATTGTACTTGCCAGGGATACATTTTCATTGCTTCAATGCTTTCCTAAAGCAATGTTACCAATGCTGGATATCCTCATGCAGAGCGTGAGGACCACCAGCATCAGTTGGACAACCAAAAGTCAGTTAGCCACCAGGAAGGGTCTCTAGAGGCTGTAACTAGAGGCAGTCTTGGTCCTGCAATGTAATTATACCTAAATGACTTACATTGCCGAACTAAGTGGGACTGAAACACTGCACTCAGACCACTTCAATTTGATTAAGTAGTCTGGGTGACTATAGTGTCCCTTTAACGATTCTTAATCCAGGGGCATTCCTTAGCTAATGATTAGCGCAAAAAAACAAAACCAAAAAAAAAAAAAGCAACGTTCTAACAATTTTCTCTATGAGTTAATGACTTCGAACTCCCTCACATTTGAAACACACGCATCCAATTAATTCTTAGAGTTTAATGTACAGTGGTTTAAAACTAAGAGGGTGTTTCGTGCCTATTTGAAGGAGGACATGAGCATACTAACCAATACCGTAATTCCAAGAACGGATTTAGAATTGTGGACTCTGGAATACGGTCTTCAACAAAGTACTGCTAAGCAAGACTATATAGAGCTCTATAAAAAGTCTGGACTATCCCTCTAACCTCCAACATTTGTGATTAGTTTCATTTGTATGCATTTATCTTTCACATTTATAATCTTGTTCCTGAACGTGCTCACCTGCAGTCAACCAAAGTAAATCTATAAAAGTAACATGCACGCACAAGGTCAAAAGGCATAAAATATATTTTTTTGCCTTGCTGATTATGTACAAAAGTATAGTCATAGCAATATTTGGAATATTCCCCCCCCCCGGCTGTTTTAAACCATATATGTTTTGAAAAACTATCTGGAGGGAAACCATGTACATTATATTTACACACATTATTAGTATGTACACTGGGTTCTACAGCAGCTAACCATTACCACTGTGCAATGTTAATTTACACTCTTATCAAGAAATCATTTGCTTACTGACCAGTTTTCAAGTTTCACATCATTTGGCATAGGAACACAAACCTGGCATTCCACAAGCCAGGGGTCAGACTTAATCTAGCCCTTCTTGTATCAGTTTCACAGCATGTGCTTGCAAGCAGGTGGTATGTAAATATTTAATCCGACTGCCAGCTCAGAGAGGTGTAGATGCACAGCTAAGAATTACAAAAGATAAGCACTGGTAATTTACCCTATTAATTACAGCTACAGGTGCAGCAGGTTTCCAGGTGTTTGTTTTCACATACTCCTCTACCAACAGAGCAAGTGTAATATCTGGTCTATGCTGCATTGATTATACAGCACTACCAAACAAAGGTCAAAGCACCACACAAGTCGCAGCATTAGCACTTTTAATCGAGCCGAGCTGCAGGACGTTTCGAATCCATAAGTCCTTTTCAAGTCGAAATTTTGGTCTGTAGCTTGGTTCCATTAAATCTAAGTGACATGTGGACGGACCTTTCTATGGAAGTGCTGGCTATTGGCAGTGTGCTGCTACCTCTCCTTGGAGAACCAAGCGTGAATTCATATGTGTGTGCAGTTCCTCTTTGGTTGTTCGGTATGGATTATCCAGGGTACAAAAGTTGCAATGTCAAACCTCTGCAATCACTGGTCTATCACATCCAGTTGCATGGATCGTGCTTATGGTTTATGTAAACCATTTAATGTGCCAATACTGAATGTATAATTATTCAAGATGCCTAGAGCATGTGATCTAAAGAAGTGCAGAGGTATCGCAGCATGCCTACAGTTTTTGGAATGCTAAATATGTACAAACCTTTTTCATCATCTTATTCTGTTTGTGGAAAAATTCTACCTTGATATCCCCACACACAGGAAGTGGCTGGGGGAAATCAAAATACATGTGCTTCTCCTCTCGTCTAGTGGGTCCTGTAGATGATGTGAATATCTTAACCTTCAGCTGGTAAATGACAAACTGAGGATCTGTGGGAAAAAGAGGCACAATGTTGAGAAATAATGTCAAGTCTTTAAAATATGTAGTTTAAATTCACTGCCATTTATCTTTGTAATGGCGTAATACTTTGTATAAAATATGCGTGGTTACTCCAACATCACTTCATATTTCATAGGTTTAAGCAAAGAATCCAAACAATACAGTATCCAGTGTGCTAGATCAAAATAAAAGCAATAAATATAAACTTTACTGGAAAGAAAATGCTATCAGTATGTGAATGGCCAAATTGCAAGTGCATTCTGAAGTCTTTGTTCTTAAACATAGCTTATGCACATGCAAAACATCTCTGAATGTCTATTTTGTCAACCGTTAGTGATCTCACTGAAATGCTACTCTAGGAATCCAATATACTTCTATAACAGAAAAAAAATATAAGAATTTTTTTATAATATACACACACACACACACACACACACACATATATACATACACACACATACGCACACACATATATACATACACACATACGCACACACATATATACACACATACATACGCACACACATATACACACACATACGCACACACATACATGCACACACATATATACATACACATATACATACACACACACGCACACACACGCACACACACACACATATACATACACATATATACACATACATATATACATATATACACATACATATATACACATACATATATACACATACATATATACATATACACACATACATATATACACATACATATATACACATATACACATACATATATACACATATACACATACACATATACACATATACACATATACACATACATATATACACATATACACATACATATATACACATATACACATACACATATACACATACACACATACATATATACACATATACACATACATATATACACATACATATATACACATATACACATACATATATACACATATACACATACATATATACACATATACACATACATATATACACATATACACATACATATATACACATATACACATACATATATACACATATACACATACATATATACACATACATATATACACATACATATATACATATATACATACATATATATACTAGGGATCGACCGATTATCGGTCTGGCCGATATTATCGGCCGATATTTGGTATTTTCGGCAATATCGGTATCGGCCAATTCAGATACCGATATTGCCGATAATATATAACAGTACCGCCGTGCCCATTACAAGCCTGGCGGTCCTGTGGGGGCCAGCAGCAAGCGCTGACTTACCTTGCAAGCAGCTCCTACAGCTCTCTGTGTAAATCTCGCGAGACCCGCGGCCGCAGAGCGTTGCCAAGGGTTACCATGGCAACGCTCCGCGCGGCACTAAGAGCCGCGAGATTTACACAGGGAGCTGTAGGAGCTGCTTGCAAGGTAAGTCAGCGCTTGCTGCTGCTGAGCCACCACTGTACTTAACAAGCCACTGGACCACCAGGGGATACTATATCCCCCTCCCTGGTAAGAAGCAGGGAGGGGGGACTAAACAAAAAATAAAAACATTTTTAAATATTAAAATAAATATTAAAATAAATTACACAAATTACATCACTACACAAACACATACACACACACAAACACATACTGCATTACATACACACTACACAAACACACACTACACAAACACACACTGGGGGGGACTAAACAAAAAAAACATTTAAATATTAAAAAAAATATTAAAATAAAAAATTACACAAATTACATCACTACACAAACACACTACACAAACACACACTGCACACATACTGCATTACATACACACACTGCATTACATACACACTACACAGACACACTACACACACCACAAACACACACTACACACACACTGCATTACATACACACTACACAAACACAGTACACATACTGCATTACATACACACACACACTACACAGGCACACACACTGCATTACATACACACTGCACAAACACACACTGCACAAACACACACTGCACAAACACACACTGCACAAACACACACTGCACAAACACACACTGCACAAACACACACTGCACAAACACACACTGCACAAACACACACTGCACAAACACACACTGCACAAACACACTCTGCACACACTACACTGCACACACACTGCATTACATACACACACTGCATTACATACACACTACACAAACACACACTGCATTACATACACACTACACAAACACACACTACACAAACACACAC